TAAAAATGCCGAAAATGTGTCAGTGTAGGTGAGCCTAATGTTATATTGTATTACACAACAAAATTTGCTTCCACTTGTTTTTCAAACTTATTCCATGAAAGAAATATATAATACATTTCAATTTATTCCGACCATAAAATCGTTTTAGAAAGCGTCCAATAAACTTTTATATATTTCTAATAGCGTAATAGTAAAATCTGATCATGTGATCTCTATCACTGTTTTTTTTATTTATACTTATATCGTAGAATACTAAAATCACCAATTTATATATCTTTCTTGGTACTTACTCTTAACATTCATTCTACTGGGAACTATACGATATTTGATCACGATGCTGCCCAAAGCAAGGTATTCCTATTACCTTAGGTGTTTTCGCAAGCTAGTGCAAAATACTAAAAAGTGAAAAAAGCTAGTACGAGTAAACTTCCCTGTGGATATCTTATGTTTTTTTCTTGTAGTAAAATCTTTAGTAGATTTCCAGTCCCCGCATGCAATCTGTATATAAATTATCCGAGTCACGTAAGGCACATATAAATAATAAATCAGGTCATCACCGAGCAGATGACGCGATAAGTTGAATAATCGCGATAAGATGGTTGCAAACGGTGCGCAATTCCAGGTACAAGTACGTGATTGCCTACAGTCTCTTTCCAGGCGCTATTAAAACAAATCATTCATTATTCGAAGACAAGTGTTTGGTTATCACAATATCAATGTCTGTTTCAATGACACGGTACAGTTGATATCATCCATGGTAATTTAAATTATGATGAATCACCTCGTGTGTCAACTATCTCAATTACAACCACTGTCCCGTGGGTATTACTGGTCATCACAACTGTGATATTTGATATGTGATCGAGGTGTGTGACAATAAATATCGTTATAATAGAATATGTGCCAATTTGTACACAATATTCTCATATGAAACCTACCACTGCTAAATATCCTTAAATCTGCTTAAGCAATAATGTTTAAATAAACGTTACTATATTTTGTGAAAATGGTGTGAAACTCACTGACACCGAATATATACTATGGAATAAATACACAATGTTGCGTTGTCAGACGTGTCAACAAATAGTGTAATTCGAAGTTGCCAAATCAATGCTATCAATGTAGGCCGAGTATTGGACAATGACATCACACCATTTTTGTCCCATGACGCATTCCCGATCCATATGCAAATACTCGACCTTCGTGTCTCACAATCTACAATAGTTCTAGTTAATATGCTTGTCTTGATTTTTACACTGTTTGTTTTGGAAATATTGCATGTCTCTTCGAGCACTGCACTCGCCTTAAATGTTTTAAAAAACAGTAATTAAAAATATTCTCTATAAAAATTAATTGTCTAGTCAGAACACGAGCTATGTCGGTAGGGGGTTGTCAGCAAATGACGTCAAATATTGAAATGTTATAATGTGCCAATCAAATTTAAAATCAAATTGCAAAATATTATTTAAGTCATGTTTAGCTGAATACTCATAAGATTGTAAATACCATGAACCATTATTCTACCATATAAATCATCATGACGATGAGTCACGTTTGATCGGGTATTTGATATCGATATATTTGAATGTATAGTATTCTGATATTATCAATGTAGCGACAAAGCGTAAACTGAATTTAAAGTGAATAGCGTGCAGGGGCTTGAGTCGCTGAATGCCCAAATGTGTTCTCTCCCACTTATTATTAATGTATCTTTCGTATTGTTTACCTTATGTCATGTGAGGTTACGCTTCTATTATGAACAACGAATTCATATTGTTGTTAATCAGGTACTGGAACATTAAATTATTATCCTGACTATTTATCATTGAAAAAAATGAAAAAAATGTTGTTGACTGTTTTGCATTAATGAGTTTGTCAGTTGTTTGTATTTGTCCTGGGGGGTTCATTGGTTGAACACAATCTTGATTAGACAAAACGAACGCGCTCATCCTTCTTATAAACCACGCCTTCTATTGATGTGCTCTTGATCTGTCCACAATAAATAAACATTATGTTTCTTAGACATTTTACTACACACTACTCCACAGACAATCAAAACGACATTGTCTTCACCCATATATATAATTATGACATCATATGAGCGCTCAGTCACTAGTGGGCGTGATTTGATTATAGTGTATTGGAAGACAATTACATATCTTTAGCTCGTACTCTCCATTAGCATGTAAAACATGTGCAGAGACAAAACAATTATAATATACAGTCTCTAATGACGCGTCCTATACTATAAGTACATCATTTTATGTTCAGTTTATTTAGTTTATTAAATTATCCTTCTCAACAACGAATTAACAAAACAAAAATGCAACGTACGCAATCTACACGAATTGCCATTCATGAGAGTTCGTGGTCTGTAAACTTATAATTCGATTAACCGAACGCTTCAAATGAAGTGATAATACGACTGCTCCAAGTAAAATGATGGATCGACATGCCAAGTACTGTGATCCGCTGATAAACACAGGCATAGATTTAAATTAACATTCACTTTTTTTCTCTCATCAATATCACGCCATGTACACACAATGTGTGTTTCCAAAAACATTTCGGAATTGTTACCTTATTAAACATCATTAAATCTATTTAGATTTTTGTAAAGTGTGCTAAATGTCAAACTATACAAAATAATTAAAGCTAGTTGGCTGTGTTTAAAACATTGAACATATTATTTTCCGATCCTAAAATTATGCGAAATATTGTCATTATTGCATGCAGTATGTATAGTATCTACGTCATCATAAACCAAAGGCTATAAACAATATATATCTAATAATACAACTTTAGGTCAACAATCGTAGTAGAATTGAAACATATTCATTAGTAATTATTTTTTTCCATTTTCACTTAAATCTTCTCCTTTCGCAATATGAGTATTATACAAAGATAGTACAATTTAAATATATCTTGTAATACGAAATCGGTACTATCAATCTAAGCATGAACAATTAAAAAACAAATTAAAATTAAAATATCGCATTATCTCACAGAATGTTCTACTGTAACAATGAATTTATTTCTAAATTGAGTTCTACATTAAATGCGTTTCATTTGATAAACTACATGATGTATTTTGGGTCGTAAATTGATTTTAATAACACATATTTGACAGTAAATAATTAATGTACATTATATTAAATATTGCGCAGATATATTGGTATGTCAAGACTGTGTGAATGTTCTAGTGTCACAGACAGATGCAACACTGTTTATGTCGTTCTGCATTTGACAACAAACAAATATCAATGTTACCATCTTTTAACAAGCTTTGCACGAGGTTGACAGTTTACTTACATGACACACAATATGGATGTACAACGAGTACATGTGCTTATACTATTAGGTATACTTAAAAAAAACATATATTTGAAAATTACAAACTACACCACATAAAAGCAGCTGACACTGTTGGATTATGTGTAGTGTAAATACATGACATAATTCCCATCTTCAGTAACTTGGATAGACGTTCTCGTATGGGTTGTACCATACTTAGATTCGAACAGGGAATCATCATTAGTGAATAGTACATGCGCATATTACAACCCAGAGTAAAATGACAGATGCGGCAATACGTCAAAGTTTGAGCAATCCATCATGCGCAATGATGAGAACAATAACATTTCATCATACACGTGATACAAATGGCAACGATGGTTTCATATTTGACTCCTGATTAGCATTGTGTATACATTCGTTTTATGTAAGAATAACTACAGTCGTTATTTTATATGCGTTTGTTTTATTTAAAGGTTTGTCTGTCTGTATACGTAATGGAGACTAGCAAGGACTCTTTTGCGAAGTCCACACACTAATTCGACTTCGATTGCGGCTGGATGAGGTGAATTAGTCTTTCGCAGAGTGCCTTGCGACAAACAATGTTTTGTGTGCATAGCGTCCAATGCTGGATTCTGTTCTTCTTCGGGACATGTTGCCTCTTATCATACTCGAAATGCGACTTAACGGATGGGTGGCTGTACAACGCCACATTTCCCGCGAGTATAGCGCCTTTAATGAACCTCAACAGAACGATAGTGGAGGAGAATTTCGCGCATACAGATGTGGATGTGATTCGGGTTGGCGCGTTAGTGTCCACTGAGACGCATCGACAGCTTTTAAACGCTACCATGGCGAACCTTGCCGGGGCATTCAGAGAGTCATTGCCGGGTCGACAGTTGGAGGTCGTCGCGATGGTTGTCAACAGCACGGACCACATCGGAATAATCCAAACTATTTGCGAGGACTTGGTTCCTCTCGGCGTCCAGACTTTACTCAGCGCCGTTTTCGGCGGCTCGTACATGGACAATTACATAGCAACTAGGCATATTACCATGACAACTGGGTATCTGGGACTCCCAATCATAGGACTAAATGAGGAAATGACGTGTGTTGTTGAAGAAATGGTAAGCGTTTTTTAGTTCAACTAATTTATAAACTTTTTTTTTGTATGTCCGATTTCCAGCTGTCTTGACGTGATTAATTTAAGACGATCACGTTTAAGACTTCACATTAATGAAGACAATAAAACCGACTACCCGTGAACTTGATTTCCGCAGAGCACAGGAAACAAAAATTGCCGTACATGCTATTTTTAATACATACAAGAATTTTCAAATCCGCACTAGTTAAACATCTACAGTATATAGCGCTGTTTACATCTAAATATCGCCGTTATCACGCCGTTATCATCACGTAGGTAGTTATTATATTCACTGATTAACAGAAATGACAGTGTTAGGCATAACTATTCCCAGTATATGAGTTTATTCAATGTTCACATGGAATTATTAGAGCTTACTACCTTGTAAAGGCCTCTCGTCTATGTGTTATACGATTTGTGTATGTTATCTATATCTAACGATATATAGTGCTTTTTATCCCAATTACAAAACCGAAATTTTAATCTAGAATTGAATATTTTCTAGACTATTTTTTAAGGTGAATCAGCAGATTTGTACTGCTAATTGACCTTCTTTTAGTTCAATTGACAAGATGATAAGCCAAAATGACAATGTGGAATAATGCAAAACAGTTTGGACAGACGAGATATTCCTCCACGTCGCAGTACTAAACCAATTGAGGGCGTATCATTATGGTATTCAATTTATTGCTGTCATCTAAATTGATGCCAATCAAATGCCACGAGGAAATAAGCAATAAAAATGTTTTGTTATGCGTTTGATCATATCAGCCCGCAAATCTAATTAAGGGTATGTATTATATTATTTAATTAAAACGGGGGCGGGGGTTATAAATCCCATGTACATTCATTGCACCCTAGTATGGGATCTCTCTGTCGATAAATCAACAAGTACAAACTGGAGACGTTTTAGATTAAATATATGAACGAACAACTGTAACGCATAAAGTATTGTATGCAGTTGATTGTTCATTCGAAGATAGGACGGTGAAATCATAGTTTACGTGGTATGTCACCTGTCCAACTGAGGGATAGGTATTGATAACACAGCAGACCAGACCGACGATTGCTTTGTGCAATTGTACGTACAATAATGATCCATATCTTGTCGTTCATTTCGATTAATAACGATCGTGTTAAAGCGATTTATAACTAAGTACCTTTCACTTAGATACCTCGATTAACAAATCCAATGAAACATTCAATTTTTTTTTCTTTTATCATTTTCTTTATTTATTCACTAATTGTGGTATGTAGTAACGAAGCAGAACATTGACAAATTGAGGTGCTTAATGTTAGTAATAATACAAAAACAAAAAAATTCGATCCATCCCGTAATGACGTAACATAATACATAGTTCGATGAACTATTTCGGAGGCGCGTGTTTGAACGTGAGTATGGTCTTTATTAAATTCAAGCAAATAAGCAAAATCTATTCAATTATTCACGTTCTTGCTTTTTCACTTCATTTTCCGGAGTGTATTCACTCCAAGTTTAAATTTCAATTAACAACAATTAACTAACTAACTAAGATTTATTTTGATTTCTGGTTAGGGCTAACGACATGTGTGGGGGAATAACCTCGACCTACCTATGTTTTTAATATGTCCATGTTCAGTACCTATCTAGATACTTATTTACAATGCACTACGGCGAATTATAATACACTGACCTGAAATAAAATGTGTGGTACGCGGTATAAATCCAAATGGTTGATATTCACTGTGTCATACTATTTTCATTGAAAAGTGTTGAAAGCAACACGGGGCCATATGCGTGAATCCCCTTCACTTTGTAGAATTTCGACAAATAGTAGACATCTGTACCGAATTTAGAATCACTGGCCGTTATTTTATTCACAAGTCATTACGTAGCTCATGCTATTTGCTCCATATTTTCTATCGCATTCACCTGTTTTATCGGCATAACACACACTAATTTATAATTGATTTATTTTAAGTCAAGTGACGCAAATACCCGATAAACAAGCGGGGGGGGGGGGTCAAATTGTCAAAAAACATCTTAATATAAAATTATTATCTATAATGTCCATATACTTGAACTGTAAAACTATTTGGCATACATGACAGATTATGAGTGTCACTATTTCTATGGTAACAAGAACTTTAATCGTATTTGATCTATTCAATTATGACAACAAATAATAAAATTACATATTTGAGCAGTGACGACGACATTTGGCTTCTAAAAAATCACTGACTCAATTTACAAATCCCGGGCATAAACACTTCTGACATAATGACAGCGCTGTCTGATCGATCTGATGAACAAATAAATCCCAGGCACTAGCGACAAACCCAAGAGCCCTGTCGTCAATGTACACATGTGGAATGAGAGATAGGTGGGTATTTCCTAAACAACATGTACATACAGTGTGATTTCCTGTTATGCCGTACACGTGTGCATATGTCCGCCATGAATTTTCATAATTCTTTGTTTTAAAAGTTATGTCAATAATATTACATTAGACTCTCATTTATGTTTACTGCAGGTGGTCTGATATATATATATATATATATAATTGCAATTCAACAACACATGCATTATTGTTATGTTATCAGGCGCACAATAAATAAAACACACACTGACGTCCTTGGAAAATATACTACATATTTTGATGGGTACTCATAAAGTTGATAAACGAGTTTCCTTCCACGAATAATTTGCGGATATCAATATATGACGTAACATACCCTCCCGTGGTTAAAGTATCTTTTTTCAGTTATTTGTATAGTTTTGTGAGAACCTTATTTGGAGCAGCTATGAAGTACTAAGGATAAATGCTATACGCATCGTCTACTTTGCAGTGACAATACTAGGACGCAAGATATACCTTTGACATTTCCTCATTTATAACACCAAAGATAATTTATAGACTTGCCTCTTACCCACAGTCGAATACTAAGTACTGATATAGGCCTTGAATCTATTCATGATCAGTCACCAGGATTTAACTCAATTGTTATCTTGTTTCCAATCCATCGAGCTAATGAGTTTGAACATTGTAGCACAACTAATTAGAGTTTATTAAAATTCTTATCTCACCAGAACAGACAGCATTTGTTACAGTTAATTGCTTAATGGATGAGATGCACCTTATTAACTACGCTTCTTAAGTGAGTTAATTACAATGATATTTAAGACATCTAATATATATATATATATATATATATATATATATATATATATATATATATATATATATATATATATATATATATATATATATGAATCTATATTCAGAAAGCTGGATACGGCAACCTAACACAAATGCGATTAAAGATTGTGATTCATAAGATGGCATGATTTTTAGAGGGAAAAACAGAAATTTGGGTCAATATAAAAAATAAATAAAGTAGCCTGATTACGTTTTCTTTTTCTTTTGTTCTAATGGGGGTAATTTAAAACAGATTGAATCGATATCGGGATAAGTTTCTATTTGGTATCTTTTTAATACAATATTCATTCAAAATTTAATATTCTGATATTTGCATATAAATTATATATGTACGTTCCACGTTCATTATGATCTGTATAGGATATGATATAATGGCGACAATATTCCATGGCGAAATATGATGCGGTGGGTGTTGGACAATTTTCAAACAACTGGACAGTGGGTGATTGAGCTCCAAGTAATATAGTGATGTTTGCGGATTGGTATTATTAACCTCCTTGTGCAATAATAGCTATAAGGTTCTCAGACAATTGTCAAAATTACTAGAACAGAAATATTTAAATTCGTAGTGAGAAAAAATCATTTACAAATCTAAGAATAATTGACAAAAGACATTACGTACATAGTAACATCAATTTGAAAAAGTTATCTGGAACTCGTGTTTTTTATAAAGTGATGCAGAATGTTTCGAATAGAGTGAGCATATCCTACTCGACATGCTACACCCGCCATATATTCCGTAGACAACAATCTGTAGATCAACCAGCAACATATTGTACATTACTATGTCAGTTCTTAATTTAGATAAAGTATTACGATCTGTACCTGCTTTGCTGCCATATTGGTTATATGGCACAACATGAATTAATGATACACAGGGGTGGTTGGGGACTGATGAACACCTGACATCAGGATATCCATTATATTTCATATATTTCTGTTACTAATGTCACAGAAAATGCGACCAACCCGGATTTAGAATCTATACAAAATTATGTGATGTATATTGATCTCTGAAATCATGATGAATCTGCAATAATGACATGATTTAATCTTTTGGCATTTTTTTTCTCAATTAACATTTGTACTGATTTAAAAGGCAACATACTTGCTCACCAATACTGGATTGTCCCTTGAACCAATTATTGGGATCACTGTAACACTCCTTATTTGCATAAATATACTTTATTTGCATAAAATAAAGATTGCCGCCATAGTAATATGCTTGAGTTAGAATAGTATATTTCGGATAATGGAATGGTTTGCTGTTACTTGTATGTTCAATTCCTGCATGATTTAGTATTTATATAGATCAAAAATGACGTTATACAGAGCTACAGACGATGAAATCAGCAATATTTCGTCGTAAATTAGTTTAATGGTCAGCGTTGTATAATAATTAGATGTCGAATATGCTGAATAATAATATATGTCAGACAAATAAATTGACGAACCACTTTTGTTGTTTTGATAGTATAACCATTCCTGTCACTGATACATTCTAACCAGAAGATACACACACTGTAATTTATAAACTTAATTAAAAATAAGTCAATACTACTATTAGGATATTTCCATATTTAGATTTGGTGCTGCACTGTAGATAGCCGTTCCCATGATTCTAATTCACTACTACAGTTTTTTAAGTCTCTTCTTCTCTCTTCTTAATTCTTGTTTCTCCCACCGGAACTTAAGTTTAACACAAGATCCCTCCACTCAGCACGATTTTTAGCCTTGGTTTCTGCCTCTCCCCATGTTAAACCCATTTCCCTGAGTTCTTGCT